TGCGGTACAACGGGATTCAACCGTCCTCCTCTGCTGAGATCGATCTTCGAATCTCTTCTTTATACATTTTAATACGAAATGAAAGTCCCAACAATAATGTTATCTCAGGAGATTCATCGAAACCCAGTTACTCTTCATAGTCTTTTCTTCTCTTGTCTTGGTGGGGGATGATGAGAGACCATCAAACCTTTATGAACAAGAGCAGACATTATTTTTGTTGTCCTAATTACTTTCAGTCATCACTGCTGGTTTTGTACATATGCGAACACATGCAGGCATATAAACATACAGAGATAGGCACATTTAAATGATTAACAAAATCACTTTATACCTCATCAAGGAGGTCAGATATAGAGTAAATATACAGCTTTTTAGGGATGAGTTTTCGTGATTTGTCAGCTTGGATTTGGTTGTAAGAATGATACCCTGGTCTAATGATGTTCGTCATACGACGAACGAAATCTTAGTATGATTTCACCGCAGTTGAAGGAGATCACCTCAGAAACAGCGTCAACAAAAATGTTCCAGTAAAGCCAACCGACATTTTTTAAAAGGGAATCCGCCGTCGTCTTCTAGTGGGATCGACCTTCGTATCTCTTCTTTAAACACTTTCATACGAAATGGAAATAAGCTCAACAATTATGAAACAATAGATTCCTGGAAACCCAACTTTGCTTCGAAAAGGATACATCCAAGAGTGCCACCATACTGCGAGCCGTTTCTTTGCTGAAGCCCTCGAAGGGAAAGTCTGTGAAGTTGTAAGAAAAAAATGGAAATATAAAATTATAAACATATTGCAGTGGGGGAATGCATTAAGCCTCTTGGTTTCACCTACCTTTCCCAAATGCCGCATTTAGTATATCACGCAGCTCATCCGAAGTGATGTCTTTGGAAGGCCCAGCGATTTTATTGAAAGCCTCTTTAAGTTGGATCACTTTTGAAGGTTCCATAGACCCGGAGTTAGCCGGCTGCGAAGAGAAATGTTAGCCAATAAGAAAAATTTGCTATAACCAAAATCCTGTTGAAACGAAAAGAAATAAATATTACAACTAACCAGAGTGGCATCAGCAATTGAGGTCACATCATCCAGCTCGCTACAAAAAATGAATATGAAAAAGGTGTTTAAGAATGGTATCAATAGGAGACGGTATTCTGGGAAAAAGGTACCATTAAAAATATACGGGTATCTGTTTAGGATTGGTAAACGCTGTGTGGGACTGGAATTTCGGACATCCAGGACTCTTGGATATTCCTCATGGCTGTGGCTCTTCTTGTGTAAGGATGGGTAGCCCGCTGTTGACCGGCTTTAAGGGAGGATAAATGACGATTACGCTCATATTTGTATGTTATGTATTTGTAAGAGTGCGAGCTTGTGTGTGTATGCTTTAGCAGATTGTTGTGTGGAGAATTTAAATTGTCAGCCCACTGTCCGAGATAATGGGGTAAACGGATTTATTCGGAAGACAATAGAAGATACAAATAATTTGTTTCTAGGAAAAACAGGTTGCTATCAATGTAAAAAAACAGGGTTTCGAATAAGCACCTAATATATTCATTTTGGAGGTGGTAATTCACCAAAATCACGAAGGCAGGTAAGGTGGTCGGCTTCAAGCCTACCTCCTTTCTATATTCAAATTTGGTCCACTTATGCATCTCATGTTTTGGTTGGATGTCCACTGCTTTACATCCATATTTGCTCATAAGTTAAGTTAAGTGGCTGCGAATGACATGTGAAATGGCTACAGATGAAGCCTAAAATTGGTGCAATTGAAACCGAACAGCTGCATCCTCCCCTAAAACACTTATACCTTAGAGGAGGATGCAGCTTTTCGGTTTCAATTGTATCTGTTTCACACATCTTCCGCAGCCATTTAACTTAACTTATGAGCAAATATAGTTGTAAAGTATTGGACATCCAACCAAAACATGAGATGCATAAGTGGACCAAATTTGAATATAAGAAGGAAGGTGGCTTGAAGCCGGCCACCTTTCCTGCTTCCGTGATTTTGGTGAATTATCGTTAACAATGGTGTCCTGCTCTGACGATGTCCGTTACATGACGGACAAAAGCTCAGCAAGGATTCATCGGGGTCGCAGGGCGGTGCGCCGGGGACCTATTCGCACAGATCTACGACCACAGCTCCAAGGCAACCCCACACAGCCTAAGGTGGAACCAACTTACGAACCGCTTCCACTCGCCTCCTCAAACGAAATGAAAGGTACTCCAACAACTCTAATTTCGCATGGAAGTACATGATGAAAAGATTTGTAGGTCACTCCCACCAGAACATGTCGGCCGATTGACAAATCACATCAATCTTATATCAGGAAATTATTCTAAAGCCGCATTTTCCTTGTATATACAGGAAAAATGGCCCTAAGAACTCCATATTGTTGTTTTTCGTATATAAGTAGAGTTTCGAACCTACCATTAAATCAGTTAGTTGAGATGTATTCACCTTATTTCGTTTAAGGTGATAAAGGACTGGTAGAAGAAATTTCCCACAATGCTATGAGTAGAGCTGACGTTTCAATTGAATTTCACATATCCTTGCTTTCCCAAAAGTTGTCACATCCAGGCTGAAGTGGACTGCAGCTTAGACCTCGCACATCTGTCCTGTAACCCAAGGGTACTCGTCTCAATGTAGCCGAGTGGTTAACACGTCAAGCTCACATGCTGCACCGTCATGGTTCGACTCCCGCTGGGGATGTTGATATGCGAAGTCGAAACTGCAGTCCATCCTGGATGAGAACAACATTTGGGAAAGCAAGGCTCTGTGAAATTCAATGGAAACGTCAGCTCTACTCATATGATTGTGGGAAAATTCTACTACAAGTCCTTCATGACCAGAAACGAACTAGGGTGAACACATTCCACATTATAGTGTTTTTAGTTGAAATGAATAAGGAACCTAGCGAGCTAATCATCTAGGGTACCTTAATTTGACCCTATAATTAAGCTGTGAAAGAAGACAGCAACCAAAGCAAGGTTAAGCCAACTTGTAAAATTCACTAAGCATTAAACGTATAAGTATTCACTTTGTTCTGCAGGCCTTCTCTGAAAAGATGCGCAGCATAAAGCGAGCCTCTTCGTTCGGTCTGTAGGTAGACGGTATGATGGCATAATTTCCCGGAGGCAATTTATGCCGGCCGCAGACCTCACGCATGTTGATAAAGACTGGAGAGCGGGCCGTTGAAACCGTCATGGTAAAGAAGCGCTGATTCAACAGATAGCCGAACCTGTACTCGTCTGGCATCTGTTGGAGTGGGCGGGTAAAGAATTTGAGTTTAGCATGTAAAGGAGGACGGAGAGGCACAAGTGCCTAGTATGCATGTCGAAGACAAACAAAAGCCTGCAAAATGAGAATAAGCTCAAGTGTCATTAACTCGAAGCCTGTAGACGGAAGAATTGACTGTCAATGCAGTAGTTAGCATCAGCCACAGTCGATATTCCACTTATAGCACACATAAATTTTGACATTAATTGGATACTTCCGCACATTGTAGAAGACATCAGCACTACCAAAAGATCATATATATGGGATGTATTCATCTTATTTGGTCTAAGGCGATGAAGAACTGGTGGTTGAATTTTCCCACAATCATATCAACAGGCCTCAAGTAACCACTTAACTTCAGATGAACTTGCTTCCCAAGAGGTATTCTCATCGAAGAAGGAATATACTGCAGTCTTTA